CACCCCCCACCCATCTCCCCCCCAAAAACCCCACAACTGCTCAAATAAGCAAAAAAAAAAAAACAAACCCAAAAACAAAAACCCCACTAACAGCCATACTGTGAAACCAAAATACTATTTTTTTTTTAAAAAAAAAAAAACCAAAATGGATGACAGTCCAACAAGTTTGCAGGATTCAAAACTGACTCTACAAAGTAATTGTCTACCTTGTAGAAAGGATTTCCTTTTATTTGGAAAACGAGCAATTGGAAATTGGAGAGAAGAGATAAAAACAATCTTTAGATGCTCTGAAGTTTTGCCTACTGAAGGATTAAAACCGTAAATTAAAAGGTACCAAGCCCTCAGAGCTCGCTGCTCACGTGAAGCTTCTTCCATCTCTTTCTTGACCTTTTTAAAAACCATTTTCATGTCTGGGAAAGGAAAAAAAAAAAAGAAGAATTATTGAGGAAAAAACCCCAGCAGTTATTTCTTATTAAGAAATTGGAATGAAGTGCTCAGTTTTGATCCAATAAAGCTTAAACTCAACCCAAAGTCTCAACCCTGGCTTAGAAACTGTGTGGGTGCTTTGGCAGTAAAAGGTGAGATTTTTCATAGAGGTCATTAAAATTAAATTAAAATTAGCTTTTGGAACTCAGGCACCCCATGGGGATAAATTCCAAGCATTTTGGGCATTCCTGGGTACATTTTCTGGACACAGCCCCTCCTCTAGCCATACACACCTGCCTTGGCCTGGAAGCCTCTCAACATCTTCTCATCTGAAACTCTTCTGCTGTTGCATCAGCCCCACATTTTCATATACTCTAGCACTATCTTCTCTCATTCTGAAATGAAATCAGGATTTAGAATCCCACCAATCTCATTTGAGACGAAAATAAAAACAAAAATTCCATTATAACGCACCACACAATTCAGGGACAACTGATTTTACTTGATTTATTTTCAGAGGAAAGCCCAGGACAAGAGGGCAGGTTCTGGGGTAACTCAGCCTCCTTTGAGGTCTCTGAAGATGAGAACAGCTCAGAACTGAGAGCAGGACTGAACTTACTCTGGACACGTTGGGGTTGGGGTGCAGGGGGGGAGAGGGCTCTGATCCCCACTCGTCTGGTCCGATAACGAATATTTAATGTTTGTGTACTCGTGACCTTTCCTCTTGCTCTTCTGTGAAGCAAAACACACAACAAAAAGCCAGGGTTGGGGTTAATCCCAGCAACCAATCATGGAGACAGTGCAGCAATTCCAAGAGGAGATAACCACGGGTGTTTTTAGGTTTGTCAGTGAGGAGAGCGTGCAGTGAACACATCGCTGAGCGCACCTAAAGCTATAGGGGAGACAAAACCTGAAAATCCCCATTTTCCTCCATCCCCACCATCTCCTCTGAACACACCAACCCCTCTGAATGTGCTCAATCCTCATCTCCTTGGCAGAAAAATCCCCATTTCATTCTTGAGCAGCCAGTGGGCTTCCCACTGACCTTATTTCCAGCTTGGAGCTGGGGCCAAAGGAGCACCACCGTTGTTTGCAGGAGCTCTAATAAAATAATATCTGAGCCCATTAGGTTTGATATAAAAAGCAGCCAAGCTGTTATTTGGATTCTGCACATATGCTCCAGGCTGCAGCCAATTGTGCTGGCACCCAGCTCCAGATCCTGCCAGGGAACTACGCCGGGAAAGAACCGGGATATGGATTTTTCCTTTTCCCAGGCATTCACAACGCCTGAAAACACTGAAACCTACAAGGTAGGAATGAAAGTTTTGTGGGGAATTGGGGTTTGGGGAGGGGGCTGTGGGTTTATTTGGGTTTTTTTAATGCTGCAACAAGTCCTGAAGCCTGACCCGGCCTCACAGCAGAGGCTGGAGGAGCCTCCAGGGAGTTCTGGCTCCTGAATTCCCATTAAGAACATTCCTAGGATTGAAGCTTTTCCAAGATGATCTCCTGAAGCTTTCAGTGTGTTCTGGTGTTTCTGGTGATTCTTAAATCACTCTCAGCCAGCATTTAACAAAGCTGTCCTGAGCAGTTTGTGGGAACACAGCTGGGGAAAAGTTTTGTTGAGCAAACCTGGATTTGCTTCACTGAACAAAGTCTGGGAGAGAAAAGATGGATTGGTGGACACGTGGAATGCAGAATTTGTGGAATGGACCACAAAGATGTTTTGTAGGAACCAGCTGATAAAGAAGAACTAACTCAGTACATGTTGGAAAGTCCCCAGAAGGGAAAAAAAAGACACTAAAAAGAGTGAAAATCTGGAATAATTAGCATAGAAAGCAAAAAGTACAAATCCCAACTGCTCCGAGGTCAGGGCAGGGAGCAGCAAGGACAGGCAGAAAACATCAGCTCTTTATCACAAAACCAGGAAACTGCTGTAAAACCCCCCAGAACTGGAGTGCAAGGAATTCCCTGAACAGGAAGAGGGAGGGGAGACTCTTGTGCTTGTCACCACTTATTCCCAAATATTTCTGATCCCACCATGCTCCTGGAAGTGCTTTTCGTTGGATCACCACACTCACTCTTTTCATTTTCCACTCCAATAGATTCATTTCCTAGCAATAAACTCCCAAAACTGGAATGGAAGTGATCAGCATTTGATTTTTCCCCTTTCAGGAATGCAGGGGACAAGCTTTCAAATCTCTTTAAAACACAAAGATCACGAGGCTCTGCTTTAATTAACAGACCCTTATCTTTGATTCTTCCTCCACAGGAAATTCGATAATGGGAAGGAAATTTGAGATCTGGGGGCAGGGCTGGGGACAGGGAGGGTAGGAGAGAATTCCACTCAAATTAAGGTGAGGATTCCAACTGATGTTTTAAAGAGAAAATCCCACTTAGTAATTGAAGGGCAGGATTCCACTCAATAATGTAAGGAGAGGATTCCACTTAATTTAAGGAGAAGATTCCACTTAATTTAAGAAGATTCCTCTTAATTTAAGGAGAAGATTCCTCTTAATTTAAAGAGAAGATTCCACTTAATTTAAGGAGAAGATTCCACTTAATTTAAGGAGAAGATTCCACTTAATTTAAGGAGAAGATTCCACTTAATTTAAAGAGAAGATTCCACTTAATTTAAGGAGAAGATTCCTCTTAATTTAAAGAGAAGATTCCACTTAAAGAGAGGATTCCACTTGGCAATTGAGGGAGAAAATTCCACACAATGTTTTAAGGAGAAAATTCCACCTGATAATTTAAGGAGAGGATTCCACTTAAATAATTCAAGGAGAGGACTCCACCCAACAATGTAAAGAGAGGATTCCACCGAACAGCTGAATTAATTCTTAAGCACAATGGACTGAAATACAGGAGAGGGTTCAGACCCAGCCTTCCCACAACACAATTCCCCCCAGAATCCCCGGGAATGCTGCTCCCTGCTGGAATCCTGCCACGTTCCTGTTGGATATTTGGGATGGACCCACCTGCTCCTCCTCGATCCTGCGCTGGAGGGTCTCGATGTAGTGCTGCACTGCCATGTAAATGAACCTGTACTGAGCCTCTGTCTGCACCATCCCTGAGCGCTGGGACCTCACCATCTGGATGGTCTTGGGGACATCGATGTCACAGTCCACCCCTGGGGACATCCACGGGAGAATAACCACGGTGAGGGGGGAGCCCAGGGGGTGGATCTGTGAGCAGGAAGGGAAATCAGGAGGGAGGAGGTACCTTTCTCTCGGATGATGTCAATGAGGATGTCAATGACAATGAAAGTTCCTGTTCGCCCAATCCCAGCGCTGCAAGAAGGGAGGGAAAAAAAGGGAATTTAATTGTTTTGCTCTTTCTGAATGCACACCAAAAACCCAGCCAAAGGAAGAGTCTGGTATTAGGAGACAGGAGGCTTCCAAATTACAGCCAGGGGCTTCCAAATTACAGCCAGAATCAAACCACAGAGCCAAAAGTGAGCAGAGACCTCAGGGAAGGGACAGAAATTGGTGTTTATAAATATCCCTCAATTACAAAAAAAAAAAACCAACCCATAAGGTCAGATCTAATATTTCCTTGCCTAAAAAGCATCTCATTTACAAGACAGAGCCCTCACAGGTGGGGTGAGATGCCAGAATTCCCATGATCCTGCACTTGAAATGCTCCCGCCAGGACTGGTCCCATCTTTTCATCTAACAGCAGAAATTTTCATTTATACAAAGATTCACACTCAGAAATCCCTTCCCAAGGGGAGGGACTCTGTGCCACCCACCCAGAATGTGACATTGTACAGAGAGAAAACGGGGAATTCTGAGCAATTCCCAGGAAAAGTTGTCCTTTTGAAAGGTCTCAGCTCCCTGGGCCAAAAGGAGGAGTGGCAGGAGGAGCCCAGGCCACCCCCTCACCTGCAGTGCACCACGACAGGTCCTGCATCAGGAATGCTCTCCTGCTTGTGGTGCACCTCCTCCAGGAAATCCAGGACACCCCCGGGATCGCTGGGAACGCCGTGGTCGGGCCAGGTGCGGAAGTGGTACTGCCACACCGTCCTCTCCGTGTTCCCCTGCAGGAAACAAAACCCTCCTGAGCTCAAATCCAGCTCCTTATGGGGCTGGGTCCCGTGGGGAGGGGGCAAATCCCAAATCCAGCCTGAGCACAGCACCCACAAGGAGGGAACAGCCGGGGAACATCAGTCACTGAACCCCCTGATTTGCTTCTCCTCCCTGATCCAAACTGTTCCTTGACAGAAGCTGCCATTTCCACGCTGCTTTCTCACCTTTTTTATCCCTTCCCTTAAGTGAATTTTCCACACCCTGGACCCACACAATGCAAACGTTTCCCTGAGGGAGTAAATGCCTGGCTGGATTGAAGTGTCCTCAGTTAAAAGCATTATCCCTCCTCCCAGATTCCCTGCAAGCTCTGCAGCAGCTCCTCTCCTGCCAAAAGCTGCTTAGGTAGGAGAATCTTCAATTATCCCAAGGGCAAAGAGAAAGATGGATGGAACTAAACGTGGAGCTTCAAAGAAACACAAGGCTCCATTTATTCATCTCCGAGTGCTTTTATTGATTCCAGAGAAATGGGCTAATCCTGCCTTTTTTTCCTTTGGTGATCCACAAAAAATAAAAAAAGGACAGAGTTCCTCTTGTACTCACCTGGCCAACTTTGGAAAGTTTCAGCTCTCTCAGGGTGTAGTCGTGTGCTGCACTCTCCTTCACATTCCGGACACGCATCACTCCGTATTCCTTCAGGGAATATTCATCAGGCCAGTACTTGACACACTTACTCTGCAAGATTGCAAAATATATAAAAAACAAAAACAAACCCACAAAAAACCAAACAAACAAAAAAACAAAACAAAAACCCCAGAAACAACAAAAAGGAATAATCAGGCAGGGGAAAAAAAAAAAAAGAGGCTGCTTTGCAAACTGGTTAACACAACCCTGAAGCTTTCAGAGTCCACAGAGGACAATCAGCTGATGAGGTTAAAGAATATTTTAATGAGAAGTTTCTCCTCTCCATAACAACCACTGGATCATTTCAGACAGGTACAGGCTACCTCTCTTCTTAGCACCTTTTGGGATTTTTGTGCCTGGATAGTTTCAAAACCTGGAGATTAAAATCCTGCTTTTTTCACCCCCAGCCACGGGTCTCAAAACACAGAATTCCCAGCAGAATTCCAGGCTGTTCCACAGCCCAAACCCTACAAAAAGTAAAGATCAAGGGTATAAATCATTTCCAGTGGAAATAAAACTTGGATGCTTGTTTTTCCATGGCTTTGCAGCAGGAAGGGCTGACACAGCTCTGGTTCCTTCACCAAAGAGGGTTCAGGCTCCTGCAAAGGGAGCAGTTCATGGGTCTGCAGCTTCTAAAATGCAGAGTTTTTGGTGTGCTGCTTCTCCATCGAGATTATCTTTGCCCAGGGATAAATTCCATCCACTGAGGAATGGATTCACCTGTCAGCACTTGGATTTGGCTCCTGTGACAGGTCAGGAAGGAGCAACTCCTGGGAATGCAGCATCAGAGCAAGAATTATTGTAGGAACAGCTTCTAGCAAGAGCAAACACAGACCAAGCACTGAGTCCTACAGAGCAATAGGGTCTATTTGCAGTTATTCTGAATATTCAGGAAAAAAAACCCGGCACAGGGAAGCTCCTCCTGCCAGCCCAAGGCAGAGTGAGATGGCTGAACACATGCCCATGTAGGCAACAAGATGCTTTCCTGCTATTTTTGCTCTTCTTTCCCTGTCACAAGGGGAGAAACTGCAGCAAATACACTGAAACTCAAGCAAATACACTGATTTTGAGGGGTGCCAGCAGAAATAATTTGCAGTTCTCAATGCAGAGCTCCGAGCAGTTGGTAGAGCAAGTCTGAACAGCAACATGATGTTAAAATAAGCTTTACTCTGCTGGAAGGGTTGCTGAACTGCCTCCAAAACCCCAAAACTCTTTTCATTTCTAAGGATTTGCTGCTTCTGCACTTTAAAGCGCATCCAGGACTCGATGCAGGGCTGGGATGTTCCACAGTTCCTCCCTTCCTCAGGCTATGAGCTCTCAGAGGCAGCTCTGGGTTCTCTCCTTCCTGCAGGTCTGCAAACAGCTTGGCCTGAGATAAAACAGCTTTGATTTGCTGTCAGGACTGGTACTTGCAATTCTTTAAGAAGCAGAGGCCGTTCAGGAGGCTCTTAAAAAAAAAGAATAAATAACTTGAAGGAAGAAAGGTGCATTCGAGTCAACTCATGATTTATTTCTCCTCTTCCAAAACAAAGATTATCACTGGGAAAGGGGGAGCTTCTCCCTCCTTCAGTGAATTCTCAGGAAGGAAACACAAATCCTGTCCCTTTATCAGGGTGATGAAGTGGCAGAACTTTACCAAGACTGAAAAAAGATCCACAACACAAAGACTCAAAAAAAAAAAACCCACATGACACATTCTAATGGCTCCAACAAACAGCACCAGTGGATGCTCTCAGTTAGGGAGAGAATCCTGTAAAATCTTCTGTTATTTGTCTTCAGTCCACACACACACAGTTCCTGGGGGTGAGGAACCCCTGCAATCATCAGTCACCCACAGAAAAACTTCAGCTTTTAACTGGATTTTTTTTTTCCACGAGTGATGTTCCCCTTAAAAAGGCAACAGCTTTCCCTTCAGAAACAGATCATGGGAATATGGAAAAAGGTAAAAAGGTGGACAATAATGTGTGTGGAAGAAGCAGAAAAACTTAAAATGAAATGGAGAACAGAAAGTGTTTATCAAACAGAAAAAAGATCAGAAGCAACAAATTCCAAAGAGAAATCCATAGAATCTCCAGGAAGCTGTGTGTGGCTGTTGCCAGGATATCAGTGTTTAATTATTCCTATTCTTTCCTGCCTTGTGACATTAGAAACCAGAAAGCAACTCAAATATCTCCAGGTTTGCCAGAGGCCAGGAAGCAAGACAAGATCCCTGTACTCCAAAGGTAAATGGAGATTTTTGGGATACACCATTGCAGGGAAAGTTCCTCTTTGGGAGCATTAAATCCTGCCAGAGCAGTTCCCAGGTAAGAAGCAACACCTCTGTGTTCAGTCTTGTAATAATAAAATCCCATAATTCTGCTTTTTTTAGGGAGGCTTGATGATATAAAATAAATGGTAAGACTTTTCCTCCAGGAGCAGGGAATTTTTCCCTTCAAGCACCCAGAATTCCTGCTTGGCCACATCTCCCATCCCAGAGCCTCCTTCCCCAAGTTTGAAACACAGAGATTCCCATTCAGCAGCTAAAATTTCAGCAGGCAAACCTTAAGAAATGGAGGCTCGATGTGACAGGGATCTGTCCCCAAATTCCCATTTGGGGACAGAAAAAAGGACACTCAGCACCTTCCAGAGCTCCAAGGAATCTGGTGCCACACCACATTCCAGCCATAAATCAATTTATCCCAACCAGTTCAGTCCCTACTTGTACTCAAACGTCAGGACCCCTCCCAAGGCCAGCTGGAGTTTGGTTTTACCTTTCCTCTTTCCACTTCCTTCGTGGTCATGACAATAACTCGGGAATTCTCCTGGAACACCATACAAGATTCCCCTGGATTTAGGGAAGAGGAGGTGGGAACACACTCACCATGATAATATTAGCATTGATGTAGTCTGAAACGGGTTCATTGGGATCACCATCGTGGAGAACAACTCTGGTGTGATCAACTGCAAAAACACACATGGATGTCAAGCACTTGCATTCTACAGCTGTGAACACGAAGCAGCTATTAATTAATTATCAAACTTAGTAAATTAAGTGATTAGAATATTCCAAATTGCCTCTTTTGCTTCCTTTAAACAAGGGGCAGTGACCAAAACATGTCCATGTCCTGGGAATTCAGGAACACAGGGACACTCAAACACTAAGTCAAGGCAAAGCCTTGGGATTTGCACGTTGCAGTTCTGTCCCCCAAATTAATCCTCTTAAATTTAAGCACTCCAGCCTGTTGAGTAACAGTTGAGGGATATGAGGCTTTTAAATGAAAGCTGAAGATAAAAAAACAATATTACAAATATCTACAAAGTGTAAATACGTGAACCCAAATTGGAAATCACGGGATAATCCTGATAAGTGGGGAAACTATCATTAAAGAGAAGCCAAGGAACCCATTGGTACTTAATTAACCCTGTATTAATGAGGAAAATAAAGCAGAGTAACACTAAATGGCAATGCAGGGTCGATACTTACAGGGTAAAATGTTTTTGTATCTATTTTTGTTCTTGTTTTCCTGGCGCTGCCCTTCCTTGCGGCTGTAGAGGAGTTTGCATTCCTGCTGCTGCAAGGTCTGAGGGGAAAACACAGACAGGAGGGCTCAAGAAAAGCAGGATGGACTGGTCCATCCTCACAGCAACCCCTTCTCCCAGAGAAAAAGGAGAAGAGGGGCATTAGGAGACTACAAATGGATTATCCATAAATTATGCCAGGGAAGGAAAGGCTCGGAGTGGGGATCTCTGGAACACAATGTCCCAGGGACAGCAGCAATTCAATATTTTCACAGCCACGTTGTTTCATGGCAAACCTCCCCACTCCCAAATCTCCCTGGAGCTGGAGGCACCAGGATCCCAATGCTCTGCTCCAAGTTTTCATCCCCAAAGCATTTCTGGCCCCACTAAAAGGAGCATTCAGGCTCTGGAAGCTGCTCCCCTGGTCATTCCCATCCTCTAGACTCTTGCTTTTATTTACTGGCACGTTTGCTCACTCCTGCCTCAGCCTGATACTCCCTCACTTAATGACCTTGGATAATTAGGCTCATCCTAAAGCCAGGCAAAGCAAAAGAAATGTAAGAGATGCAAAAGTTCCAAGCTTGTCACAAAGGACAGAAAACAGCCCCCAAAGCCTTGCCTGTGGAATTCCAGGCAAAACGACCGAGAGCTAAACTTTCCCAGCAAGTTAACGAATTGAAGCAATTAAGTGTGTGGAAACCACATCTTCCTTCCTAGAGTTAATTATTATTGCTTGGAGCATCCCTGAGGAGAGATCCAGCAGCAGCACCAGCAGCAACTCCCAACAAGCCCATTCAGAGCAGGAACAGCACAGCCATAAATCTGGAATATCCTCCTCGACTTCACCACAACATCCCAGCACTAAGCTCAGAAATAACCATTTTTCAGAAGGAAAAACATTTCAAGGACTGTCAGCATTCCTGTCTGGTGGTTCCTGGGACAAGAGGCTCGCTCCTGCCTGGAGACAAGTAATTTAAATTCACCATCTGGGCTGGCAGCTCCTGAGCAGCACAGACAGGGATCCATGGACAGCCTGGAGTGTGTTCCCCACTCCTGCCACCACGGGGGACAGCTGGAGCTTCCCTGAGGGGAGTGGAAAAGCAGGGCACTAAAACTGCTAGGAGAGGGCTTCATTCCCCAAAAAAAAAATGAGGGTTAGTGCTGACCTCACTGGCAGCAGCAAAGGGGGAAAAAGGAGTGCAATGTCCCACAGGTAAAATCCTCCATTTATTTGCTTTTCCTGCTAGACTTTTCATTCTGCAAGGAAAACACTTTGCTTCTAATGCCACACTGAGAAATCCACTCCAAGAAAAATTTCTTCAAACGTGGTACCAGAGGTCAGGAAAGAACTGTGAATTAATAGCTCAGTTACATTTTGCCAAGCCAACAATCCCTTCCCACACACATGACCTCTGCTGACTTCCTCCCCAGATGGAATTCTGGCCATTCAGCAGCCCTGGATCGAGGACTGTCCCCTCTCTCTGGAAAGAGAGAGGAGAAAGCTTAATCCTCATTTTACCATTTCCCAATGCCACGACCTCACCATCTGATATTCCCCTCACACACCTCTGTGCTAATTCCTTCACTTTTCATTGATTAATTTTCCTTCTCCTGGCAATAATCAGAGCACACTGGACAGTACATTTAGCTAGTGGGTATTTCTGATCAAAGAGGCTTTCTCCAAGGATGGTCACTTTGCAAATCCATCACTATTCAGGAAGTTTCTCAAACCAGCCACTCTCAGGAGCTCCCTGAGCACTTCCCAGTTTCCTGTTGCCATCTGCTGGTGGAATTCCAGATTCCACTGGTGGTTATGTGTGTGTGAGGTATAAACCAGGCCATTATATCCAGCCTGGAGTGTTCCAGGACAGGTTGGACGGGGCTTGGAGCAATCTGGGAGAGTGGAAGGTGTCCCTGCCCATGGCAAGGGGTGGGATGGGATTTAAGGTCCCTCATAACCCAAACCATTCCACCATCCCAGGTTGCTCCAAGCCCCATCCAATCTGGCCTTGAACGCTTCCAGGGATGGGGCACCCACAGCTTCTCTGGGAAGAGTTTCTTCCAAATTCTGGAAGGATTTCTTCCCAATATCCCATCTAAACCTCTTCTAGTTTGAAGCCATTCCCCCTGTCCTGTCCATACATGCTTTGCCTGGAAGAAAATTGGAATTTTGCCTGCAGAGAGAAATGAAACACCAAAACAAACCAAAAATAAATCTCCAGAAGTCCAAGGAATGCATATAATCCACGTTGCTTCATCCCAGAGCTTTCTACCACTTCCCAATGGCCCTAAGAGCCTCAAAAACGAGTATCAAAAAGCCACAAGGACAAGGACAATGGACAGACTGAGAAATGTGAGTTTCCCTAAAGAAATGGTTCCAAATTTCCCAAACAGCAGAAGGAATTTGAAGGATTGTCCTGGTGGGACAAACACAGGAGTACATGAGGCCCCCTCAGGTTGGGGTGGGGATATCCAGGAGGGATTGTGCCAGGGACTGGATAAAAAGCACTCACAATCAGGAAAAAAAGGCAAATATTTCAAGCCACAAGAGTGGAGCTGGCAAAACTTCAACCCTGGGAATGGGAGCAAAAACTGGGACCTGAAGTGGTGGAGAGGAGGAAAGGCCAGGAAGGCAGAACCCAACGTGAGTTTAGCAGTGTGAGACTGAACACGGGAGGAAACACTGGAGGAAACACTACTTGGAATGTAAGGAATTACCTCAAACTCTTCCCAGAAGCCCTGCTTGACTTTATCCGTGGTCTCTGCCAGTTTGCTGAGCTCCCTCACTCGGCTCTCGATCTCGGCAGCGTTAATCCTGGTGGTGTTCAGGGGCTGAGAGACAGAGCCCAGCACAGGGTTAGCAAATGACAGCCATGGAAAGACAATTCAAACACAAATCCCCTGAGGTGAGGGTATTTTAAGGGGGATTTTAGGATCCAGGCATCATTCTGGATGTTGGAATTTTGGAATTCAAGCAAAGGGCGGTGAGGAAGGAGAATTTAAGAATTTAAAAACTGCTTTTAAAGTCTCGTGGTTTTTATTTAATGTGTTAAATTGTCTCATTTCTGGACTTGCCCTGCAATTCCTACAGACCAGGGTCACACCCTGCACATCAGAGGCAACACTCTATCCCTTCACAAGCCTAACAAAAATTGTTCCCATTTAAATAACTTTGTCATCCATTTCATGAAGTTCAACTCCTCGTTTTTTGCCTCAGAAAAGAAGAAAAATCTTGCAGAACGCATGGAAAAGCTGCATTTCAACAAGATATCCTGGAGGAGCTCAGGGGTGGCCTCTCCTCCTCACCTGTTTGAGTTGTAACACGGTGCCCAAAGTCTCCACCATGGGGTTCTTCTTGTAATGCTCCACCAGATCTGTCAGAGAGTCAAACTTCTCCCCTCCTCCAACGTCATATTTGAGATCCTGGAGAGACAAAATGCTCCTCAAAATAAATGCACTTCCCACCACCGCAGCTCCAGGCTGTGCCTTGCATCAGAAATAACCTCTAAAACTCTGTGTAGAAGGCTCAGCTGAAATCCTTCTGCTGAAGGATAGAACTTCAATAAATAGAAAGGCACACTGCAGGACATCCCCCTTTTTTGCCATCTCCTTGAAAATCGGTTTATCTGCTTTTTTTAGAGAGCTGATTCCCTCTGAACCGGGGTTCAGGCAGCTCTGGAGCTACAGGATGAGAATGCAGGAATTAGGGATTTGAATTGATTTCCAAAACTGAGTGTGTGATTGGGTCCTGAAAGGCTCGTATTGCCTGGAACCGTCCTGATTTTAAGGAAGCAATACCAAATTATTTTCCTCAAAGGCATAAATGCTAACTGCAAATCAGAGAGGTTTTCTTGAAAAAATAAACATATTCTGGTAATTCAGCATTTACAGTCCCAGTGGGTCATCTCTACCTCCAAACTACTTCTGTTACTGCATTTTATGTGTTTTTATACAATATAGTCATTGAACTGCCTTTGGGCACAACAGAAGTAAAAGAAAATAACAAAAAAACATTTTTTTGGTGTTTTTTTACCTATGATTATTTTTTAAATTGCAGCCCATGGAGAGAGATTAACTATCAAAACTGTAATTTAATAATATTTCAGTGAAGAACTACCTCATACTAAACAGAAGATTTAGATTTCAGGGCATTCCTTGGAGTGAACACTCATTTTCACAGACTGTTGATCATCTACCAGGTGTCACTGCCTGAACTGGCAGGAGAGAGACACCTGTGGATGGATCTCCATTTATCCAACCACTCCTATCTTGATAGAATCCATCCAGGAGACTCCAAAGGCTCCCTGAGCACAGCAAAGTGTGATTTGAGCCAGAAGGCCCTGACAGGAGCAGTCTCCCCAAAAAAATTTGTAATTTTGATGCCGACAAAGGAGTGATTTTGATCAAAGGGATGACCTGCAGCAGCCCCAGAGAAAAGAGGAATGTATCCAGAGCTCCTGGGCCCATTGACTCCCTGCTTTTCCTACCTGGCAGTGGATCATGACGTGTGTCACTTTGGATTTGCCATCGTTGCTCTCTCCTTTGTCATCCCCCGTCCTCACGGACAGGACAAAGTCCCCGGGGTGGCTCTGGCTCTCCCGCACCAGGAAACTCCCGTGTTTTCCTTTCTCTGTCAAGAGTTTCTCAGCCTCTCTCCCAGAGAGATGCCCGTGAAACCACCTGGAAATGAAGTGCCAATAGAGGGAGACACCCTGCTTAGCATTCCAGCTGGATCCCCTTGTTCCGGGTATTTATTATGAAATTGAATCTTTCTGTTCGGTCAGGCCTAGGGAAAAACCTCAGGTGGTAAAAACAATAAATAAAATAAGCCTTGGAAGTGTCCAGGTGCACACCAGTGAGGACAGAAATGCTTCAAAGCACTTCCATGGAGCTTCCTACAAGCTTCCAGTGAAGCTTTGATTTGGATCCTTCACAACAATCCCAAAGGATTCCAGTAAACACCAGGTTACACTCCAGCCTTCCCCTCTTCTTTTATTTCCTTCATCAAACTTTCCTGATAAACATGTGGAAACTTCATACTTTTGAGACCTCTCCCTTCTATCCCATCAGGAACTGGAGAGGATAATCCCAGCAATCTCAGTTCTTCAGGAAATAGGGCCAAAAAAGCACAGATCCTCCCCACCTCTGTAAAGGCATTCTGAGGAGTGAGAGAACTTGTTTGAATACTTTTCCTCATTTTTTCACTTCTAGGAATCTGCTGGTTTAGTTCTGACCCCTGACACTTCCTCAAATCCAGAGTCTCAAATTCTCCCTATTAACCATGCTCCTAAAAACAGGAGTTTGAGGAATCTGAGGATTTTTACAGCCTTCACTTTCTGCTCACTGCTAGGAAAAGCACAAGAAGTCATGCCCAGAAATATCCCTGGGAATTCCTTGTAGCAACAACAGCATCAGGAGAACTTCTCCAATTAAACATTCTCCCAGTAAAAATAAAGGGAATTATGCCCTCTTTTTCAGGGAAGAATGCTGAAGGGAACAGGTTCTGAGGCTTGGATTGCTTCACCTTTAACCACATTTATTCAGCTATTTTGCAAGGAACCTCCCTGAAAGGAATCCGAGGTTGTGGCCACCCTTTTCCCAGATGGAGACTGAGTGTCAGGAGGGATAAAAACAATTTATTAAAAAGCACAAGGACACTGAGGTTCCACCACTTCTCTGACCTTTCTGACGTGGGATCAGCGCAGTTGAGGGGATATTTCAGCTCTATGACATCTCCATTCTTCTCCTTGAGCTGCCCATGGTGTTCCATGTAATACTGGACCAGCTCAGCCAGCGTGGCAAACTTCTCTCCCCCATAGAGGTCATAGTAGTCACCTGTGTTCTGGATCTTGATGTGGGTGACAGCTCCAGTTCGTCTAAGATTCGAAAGACAGGACAAAAAATAAAACCCTTCTCAAGTCAGCTGATCAATCAATCAATTTTATATTTATACTTTTATATTTGGTGATGCCTGAGGTGGAGAAATCCATACTCAATTCCAGCACAGAGCTGTTGCAGAAGAGCTGAGCTTCTCTGCTTCTGCTTCTCTGCCCACCAGCCAGGGGGAAGAGGAGAACAATTCTGTGCTGGAGGGGTCCCTGAAGGCAGCAAAAACCCTTCAGCCTCAGGAGCCCCACCAGAAACCCCTCAGAGCCACACAGAACTCCACACACCAGCACAAGGGTGGAGGGTGAGAGACACAGAGCATTCAGCTCCTTTCTCCAGAATTCCCACCAGCTCCCCAAGGTCTCTCCCTCAGGAAACATTTGCCTTTGCCTGCTGCCACAGTCTCTAAAGTGAAGGAAGAGCAGCTCCCAGCAGGAATCCCCCCTTGTGCCACAAGGCCCGTTATCTCACGAGTATCCAAGCAGCACAACTCTTATCACCAATCCCACTTTTCCCTTTTCCTTTATCTACTTCCTCTTGCTGTCTTTTCCTCATCCCTACCACGCAGTGTCAGGGGACAACTGTCACACAAGGCCTATTTTGGAAGCTGAAAAAGCCACAGTTGCCCTTAAAAACTTGCTGACTTTTCCTGTGTGAGGAGAGTCTGGATTTCCTGATGGATCACTAATTCCCAACACCTCTGCTCCTTCCAGCTGGCTATCAAATAGATTATGAAAGGGCTAAAAGGAATGCTATTATCAACCTGTTTCTGCTTGCCCTAAACATTTTTCTGTCCTGCTGTAAAATCAGAATTCACTCCCCTCCAACCTAGAGCTGGGTGAAATTATTTGAGAAGCTCTTCAGGGATAATGGGAGAAAAAGAAGAGGGAAAGGTGAACAACACTAAAAAGTGATCCCAGCATCCTTCCACCTCTTCCAAGGAGTTCATCCACAGCTCCTTCCCCACAGGACAGCAGCAAATTAATTACTGCCAACCTGGAGCAAGACTGGAAAGATCCAAACTCACCTAACAGAGAGTGTGAAGTCTCCTGGGTTACTTTTGCTGGGCCGTGCCAGGAAGCTGCCATCCACTCCTCTTGTTAGCAGCAGGTTTTCTGCCTCCACCCCAGTGATATTTGGATGAAACCATCTACAAGAGGTTAAAAATAAAGAATGTTAATAAATAAACAGCAGGTTTTCAGAGTTAGCTCGCACAGAGCAATCTGACAGCTTCCAAACTGAGTTTTGCACCTGAATTAATGAAATTTCTCTTTGTTATTAGTTTCGTATTGCAACTTTATATATTGCAATTTTTTGTAAGCCCATGAATTACACTTATCCCCACTCTGCCTGCCTGGATCAAAATGATATCAAAGGTACACAACACAAACACAGACCAGAAGTGGTATTTCCTTACTCCAGCAAAACACAGCACACAAAGAAACTGAAAGACAAACAGGAAAAATACCTAAAAATAAAACAAAACATCCAAAGTGACACTTGACAACATTCTGAAGGTTAAAAACTGAACAAAACCTCATGGTTTATGGCACAGCTGAGGGGGTCAGGAAGGAACTCCCCGTGTGGACACCCCTCTGCTGTTCCTCCCAGGAATGTGGAGCCGGGCTCGGATCTGTCCTGCTTAAATACAACCACAGAGGAATCTCCTATTGATCCTTGCCACCCACAAACTGCCCTCAATGACTATCCCAGAGCCCAGGCAGAGCTGGGGCTGGGCTGTGGCCAACAGCTCCGTGTCCCCACCTCTGGCATTGACTTTGGAGACTTATTTGGAGCCACTCGGTGTCACCGCTGCCTCTGCTCTTATCTGGAATTTACCCATTTTCATTGCAGCCCTGAAGGAGTTCTGTGTGACAGGACTTGGTGAGGATTTTAGAAGGGATGTGAGCACCCCAAGCTCAGCTCTGTCACCTTTGCACTTGGCAATTAAAAATCACCTTTGACTTTCAGAGTTAAATCCTCGTTCTTGTGTGCTGAAAGAATTCAGCCTGCTCCTCTCTTTGTTCACCTCTGGCTTTTCCAGAGTACAGCAAAATATATTAAAAAAAAAAAACTCCACAGCCAGGCTCATCACAGAGAGAGGAGTTTTATATCCAGAAAAATTGAACAGCATTCCTGATCCTTCCTGATCCAGTCAGCATTTCAGGCTGAACTGCAAAATCAGCAAAATATGAGAGCACAGGTCTAAATTAAGGGTTATTATTTCAATTGTTGCAGCAATTCCTTCTCTACTGAAAAGCTGTCAATATTCCCACCAAAGCCTTCTCCAGACCAGTCTCTTCAGAAATGTTCTGGAGTTTCAGGATTCTAGAGAATCCAAATCTCTAGCAAGTCATTCAAACAGGAATTAGGATCCATTTCAGAAGTGAATTGTGTGAATCTTCTTGTGAACCTTTTTTCCCCTAGTTAATAATATTCTACTTGCACCATGAGAATCTAATGAGTAGTCCCCATCTTTCACTGAAGAACAAGACTGAAAATATCAAATTTATGCATAGGACATGGAAAAAAACATTCAAAAATACTTCCAAATTATCACAGCAAATGGGAATGAACTAATTAATAATGTTACATTTATCTAATAATTATTCAAAGGTCAAGGAAAGTTCTCACAAAAGAAACTGCACAATCATCTGCACCTGGGATGAACTGAACATTAAATAACACAGCCCACAACAGGTTGCATGGAGAAGGTGATCATATATTTACCACATTTCCACTCCCAAAATTTTACTTCCATTAGGAGAAAACAAACAAACAAACAAAAAAAACCATGAAAAATGTGTGTAGTTTGAAGAGTTGCAAGGTTTTTAAATATGCACAGGATTCAAGAGAAACCTTGGTAAGTTTTGGAGTTAATAGCAAAAAAAATGTTTAAATAGACAGAGAATAAATTGTTTGGATTGGTTCTCCAGATTTATTATACTGACATTCCATAAACTTTAACCAATGGAATATCTTCTGTATCCTGATATATTCTGAAGTAGCTGTAGGTGATTTGCTACAGCAAAGGAAAAATAATCATTTAGGTACAGAGGCGACTACAAATAACCTGTTATTTAACCAGCATTTCAAGGAGAGGTTAAACACACAATAGATGGTTCAAACCCCAAAAATCTCACTCCCACGTCCACACAAAGATGCCAAAAGCCAAGCTACACCTGGGAGGGTTTTCTGGCACTTTATGTAACTCTGGCTCTGCTGGCACCTCGTCCTCCTGCTCCCTCAGCTCCGTATTTTTGGCTTTGAGTAGGAAGCTGCATTTGTCAGCCACCCCAAATAGCAGAATGGGGGTGTCAGTGATCCCTGCCAGCGGTTCCGGCCGCGAGGAGGATCCTCCTTGAAGTGCTGCCATCCCTTGTGCTCCCAACCTTGGGGCTGCAGCCCTTCCAAACTGGGAGGGGACAGCAGAGCACCCCCCCTCAGCCAGGACCTGCTCTCACGCTGCCTTTTATAGGGATGGAATGCATTTTGGGCTTTTTATCCTGCTTTCCCTCCCCATCTCGGTGGGAGCAGGTGCAGAGCTGCCCCAGCCAAGGGCAGTGAATACAATCGCAGAAGTCACCCAAACCCACGCTCTGGTCAAACTGGCTCCTCACCATCCCTCCTGCTGCAGTTCCCACTCCGGGGCTTGGAATGCACCCTTCCCAGACCCTGATCAGTTCACTGCAAGGTGGAAATGTTGGTAAAAAAGTAACCAGTGAAATAGCAGGGGTTCATTTACAAAAACCAAGGGGGTGTCAGCAAAGCAAGGAAACTTCTGATGAAAAAAAAAATCCAGAACTTCTTTCCCACAATTATCCCTTTTTTTTTTTGTTATCATGGTCCAGCAAAGACCAGCAGGATCTCTGCTCCCTAAGTCACACGCTGCCAGCACATTTCCCTCTTACCAAACAAAAAGAAATAAATCAATACCATTTTCCATGCAGTGATTGGGTTTTTTAATCACCTTTGCAAGAGCAAAGGAGAGATGAAATCAGTTCTGTCTCAGCTGTCACAACCACAGCACTGGGGATGTGCTGACGGGTACTTTAATTACTCCTATTTATAGGCTCATCAGTTGATATTTCCCAGCTTTTTTTCAGTCTCCCTCACAAGTTACAATTTAGGGCTCTGAGCTGAGTAACAGGATTATTCCTGGCAAGGAGGAAGTTCACAATGTTGCCAAAAGGTAACTTGTAGCCTTGTTCCCAGCGTGAGCAGGGACACCCAGAAAACACAACAAAAAACCTCCATGCAGCCCAGAAACCCCCCAAATCCAACTATAAATAGCCGTGATTTGAAACCAGCTCATCCAGATTCACCATCTTGAGCAGAAGAGAGAGGGCAAGTTACCCTTGGAGAAATTATAATTAAATAGTATTACTTATAGAGGTGAATAAATTGAAATTGTTGTTGCTCCATTCCTGGAAATGTCCCAGGCCAGGTTGGACAGGGCTTGGAGCAACCTGGGATTGTGGAAGGTGTCCCTGCCCATGGTAGGGGATGGAATGGGATGAGCTTTATGGTCCCTTCCAACCCAAACCCTTCTGGAGTCTGTGAAGCTCAGAATAGGTCTGCTAAAAAAAAGGATAAATACATTTTTTACTCTTTTCTATGACAATAATTCCTCTAAAGCCCAACATTCACCCAAACCTCTGAGCCAAAAAGGACCCCGGGTACCAGACAAATATCAAAATACATTAAGGGCAGTGAGAAGCTACAACAAAGAAATGGGCTCGCCTGTTTGTCATGGCACTCGAACAGTGCCACAAGGGTTTGAAATTACGAGTGAATGCTGATAACTGATAAGAACGCAGGTGTGGGGAGCTCAGGAACACTCGTTTGGCAGCTGGGTCGTGTTTTAGGGTGGGTAAATCAGCGGCGGGGCCCTCGGTGGAACAGGAACCCTGGGCCTCGGTACCGAGCAGGTCCCACACGCCAACAATTCATCCCTCGGTCCGGCGCTCCGTGGGGACACCCGCTGGAACCCCCCCAAAGCGGGGGCACCGGGGCAGCTCCGGCCGCCTGCGGGACTCGGAGAGACTCGAAGCCAGCCGAGCCCTCCACCCCCGGGAGGTTTCCCTGGGAACGGGATCCGGGAGTGGGGGCAGCCCCCGGGAACGG